CTTCAAATCCTACAATCAGATCTTAAAATAACATTTTTTTTTTCTTGTTGTTGCAATCAATTGTATGATTGGAAGACATTTTTTAGTCGAAAGAAAAGTCTCAGTCAGACAAATTTTTCTTATGATTTTGGTTACTTTTATTTTTAAAAATGGGCTTCCAACTCAATACTTGTATGTTAGAGTTCATTTTATTAAAGAGAAGAGGAAAAATGATATAAGAAAACTCCTTGATGGAGGAAGAGAGAAAAAAGTTCTATGTTCGTACAAACTTTAGTATGATCGGAATCCTCCTAAAAAAGACAACATCATATATAATTTCATGTGAAACTAAAATAGTATTTTTCAAATTTTGATATAAAATTAATTTTTTTATTATTTTAAGAATAATTTTCACTATTTATAATTGAAAGATGGATAAATCTAAAAAAAATTCACTAAATCTTTGAGATTATTACAAAAGATAGCTACAACCACTATTTACCTTGTCAATTATTAATGATGTGTTAAGCTATACGAGTTATTTTTTTAATACAATTTTATATACGTCATTGATCCAAGTATCACATATACGTTAATATTAATATAATAAAAATATATTTAAGACAATTTTTTAATAAATACACATAAAAATACTAACCTATACTTCAAATTTATACTCTCATTCTAGAATTACCGTTGAAACTAAAATAACTGTTCAATAAATTCTATCAAACAATTCATCATTTACTTTTGTTATAATGCACAGAAAAACTACTGTAACAATTAATTTACAAACGGGAAATAATTAATACAATAAAACATACACACACACACACATATATATATATATACACACACACACGATAATAATTATAATAGAAAGAGAGAATAATTAAATTACCAGATCCGGTGATGAAGACCATTGCTGGATACTTGTCTGCCCTATAAAAAGCCTACGCAATATAAGTCGGCTAAAGGGTAGTCATCAACCACGTTGTTAAATATGTTTTTGCATTAAGATTGCAATCTATGAGTACTGATTGCGAATCTCTTTGTGGGGAAGTTCTTCCACATGCATATATATGTGTGTGTGTATATATATATACATATATATTCATCATCTCCAACATCACGTCTATTTATATAATTCCAAAATCAATTAAGCATATTCTCCTTCATCATTTCTTTTCCTTTTCTTTTTCTTTCCGGACTAATTATGCTCTTATTTTGTATAATTTAATTGTTTGTTTAAATCCACATAAACAACACGATCTTCACAAATACATATATATATATATATATCTTTAACTTAATTTTCAGTACTACTCTAGATGACTTGCAGGCATGCTTGTACTTTAACCGTATATAAATATTTCCAATTATAAACTATACCCATGTATATATATGATCAATAATTTGTATATATGGCTTATGGGTTCAAGTCATAATTTGCATGCGTGTATATATATATATATGGTAATATATTTTGGCAATTTAAACACCAAAGCTTTTTAAGTGTGCAGAATATGGATTTGAACAATCTTCTTTTTGAAATCATGGACGGAGGACTATCAATGATTATGAGAACTCTCATTATAATTAGAATGATAATTAAATTAACTGATTAAAACCCTAATTATCGTCTTAAATTCTGTACCTGAAATTAATTTAGTTAGAGAATATGTGGGGCCATGAGATCTTATTAGAGCTTTTATTTTGTCTTAGTTTGTTAACAAATCAGAATCTTAATCTTGTATACATACATGGTATCCCTGTCAGGTCGTCTCTTAAGACTTAACTACCCTTTGAATGATTATATATGTATATGTTTTTCATGCATGGTTATGTTTTCTCACCAAAAAATTAATATAATAGTTTTTAGTTAATTATTTGGAAAAGACTTTGATTAGTCATAGGTTGAGAATTAATAATCATCTGTAGAGTTTTAAGAATTATGCTTAATCACAATTAGTAGAAGGATTAGTGTTTATATATATATATATACACACACACACACACACACACTATATATATAATATAAAAAGTTAATGATATAGTAATAAGAGAAAAACCATGTACAGTAAGCATCAAGTCATGTTTATCTAAAAATAGCTTAAATGATTCACAGCCTATGAAAGATTTGTATTTCTTTTAAAATGAATATGTAGATATATGCTAAGAAAAGTATAGTGAAAATTTTCATACCAGTTTGATTAAAAAGAACAAAAACCAGATAGCCAATTCACTATACGTATATATTTTTAAAGGAATTAACTACATATTTTGTATAATTTGATTACATATTTGAATTCGGGAAATATAAAAGATAAAATCTAAAGTAATGGGAGAATTTGTTTCTCTCAAGAATTTTTTCCCCCTGAGAATTAATATGCAGAGAAAATCCAAAAATATAAATCAACACCTAATGATATATTTTATATATATATGTGTGTGTGTGTGTGTGTGCGTATATATTGAAGAACCAATTGGAGTATGGATGTTAAAGGGATTGAGATGAAAATTAAAGCTTTGAGAAGATGACATATCAATCTAACAGTACTTGCAGAGAGAGATTAAAAAAAAAGTACATATATATCTGTAAAAGTTGAGCTTTGATTTTGCTTACACCATAGAATCAATCATTGATATTTTCCCTTGTTTTTTTTTTCTTCCTGTTGCAATGGAATCAGGCAAGTTGAGGGGTCGACTTTCTTTTAAATATTTATTTCTTTATTTTGTTTCTTTGTCAAAGCCTTCCTACCCCTCTTCTATATATATATATACATACATACCACGTCTTTTACAAAGGCGTCATTCAAAACTACACAGTTTTATTCATCTCTCTCTCTCTCTCTCTGAGATCATTAGAAGTCTCTCTAACCTTCGTTAAAGAGTTCTTTTTTTTTTTCTAAAGATTATTAATTTAGTATTTGGAAAAGGGAAGCAATGGGTTTAGAGATTAATAAGCAGGCAGGTGTTGAGCTCTCAAACATAGCAGTTTCTGATACTCATGGGGAAGATTCTCCATATTTTGCTGGCTGGAAAGCTTATGATGAAGACCCCTACCATCCATTCGATAACCCGTCAGGAGTCATCCAAATGGGCTTAGCAGAAAATCAAGTAAGTAATTTGTGTATATATATATATATACACACACACTACATCATAATCAATTTAATTGGGTGGGTTTATAATAATATATCTAATGCATTTGTTGTTGTAATTGGTTGAGCAGGTTTCCTTTGATTTGCTTGAAGAGTACTTGGAACAGCATTCAGAAGCATCCACCTGGGGAAAAGGAGCCCCCAGGTTTAGAGAAAATGCTTTGTTTCAAGATTACCATGGTCTTAAATCTTTCAGACAGGTATATACATATATATATATCTACACATACAACATATGTATGATTCTACGATGTACCCAATATTATATACAATTATATATAGCTAACTTACTAATTATAATATGCACAGGCTATGGCGAGTTTCATGGAACAAATAAGAGGAGGAAGAGCAAAATTCGACCCCGAAAGAATTGTGTTAACCGCCGGAGCCACCGCTGCTAATGAGCTCTTAACTTTCATTTTAGCAAATCCTGGAGATGCTTTGCTCGTTCCAACTCCATACTATCCTGGGTACGTAATTATATATAAATATATATTAACTCATTTATGTTATATGTATCACCATTGATGAATGTATGCATTTATACCGAGTTCGTAACTTGAATTTCTTTCCGTTTTTGCAGATTTGACAGAGATTTAAGATGGAGAACAGGAGTGAAAATCGTCCCAATCCACTGTGACAGCTCAAACAATTTCCAGATCACTCCTGAAGCTTTAGAATCAGCCTACAATGAAGCAGAATCCATGAACATGAGAGTTCGAGGAATTCTAATAACCAACCCATCAAACCCATTAGGCATCACAATCCCCCGCCATGTTCTCGAACAACTTCTCGATTTCGTCACCCTCAAAAACATCCATCTCATCTCCGACGAAATCTACTCCGGCTCCGTTTTCACCTCGCCGGACTTCACCAGCGTTGCCGAGATTCTCCATTCACGAAACAACGTCGCCGAATGCGCCGAGAGAGTCCACATTGTATACAGTCTTTCCAAAGATCTTGGCCTTCCCGGTTTCAGAGTCGGAACCATTTACTCCTACAACGATAAAGTCGTCACTACTGCAAGAAGAATGTCTAGCTTCACTTTGATTTCTTCTCAAACGCAGCATCTCTTGGCTTCCATGTTGTCGAACCAGAAATTTACAGAGAATTATATTAATACTAATCGGGACAGGTTGAGGAGAAGATACGAAATGATTGTTGAAGGGTTGAGGAGTGCTGGGATTGAGTGTTTGAAAGGGAATGCTGGGTTGTTTTGCTGGATGAATTTGAGCTCGTTTTTGGATGAACCCACGAGAGAAGCTGAGTTGAATTTGTGGGATTCAATTCTGCACCGAGTCAAACTCAATATATCTCCAGGATCTTCTTGTCACTGTTCCGAGCCGGGCTGGTTCAGAGTTTGTTTTGCTAACATGAGTGAACACACACTCCGAGTTGCATTGAAAAGAATACAGAAATTCACCCAACAACGAAGAAGAAATAATTAATTAACAAGCTTATAAGTAAATTATATACTCTGCATAATTTCCACTTTCATCATTTTGTTTTTTTGTTTTTGTTTTTGTGGGTTTTATTACTTACCCATTTTAATCCATCTCCCTCGTGAGAAAACCCAGTTTCTAGAATTGGGATATATACATGTCATGATCTGATTACATATTGTATATTCATTTTATGATACGTATTATTGTTTTCTTGCTTCTGGGGAAGCAAGTTCCTTTTGGAAATCCCAGTGTCCGGTTGTGGCATACAAAGCTTGTACTACTATTAAATAAGTTTCTTTTTTCTTTTATCATGTCTTTGACTCGTAACCCTTTTATTTATTTGTATATTCTATTCAACAAATGTGTTTGTCTTTGACATCTATATCAGCAGCTAATTTATTATACATACATAACCGACTTTTGATTAATTATCTACGTATATAACAATATATATATATATAGCATTAATTTTGGCAGTAGTGAGTCAAAACTCGCTGAGTTTGAAAATCAATTAATTATATATATGTCTGTGTATTGATTGTATAACAATATTAATGTGAACAGGAGTCCCCTAATAGTGTGTATTAGTTGGATCCTAATTAATTATCAACATTCTTTAATTTTATTTTTTTTTAAAGAACTTTTTGGTTGGGTTAGGAGATTGAGATTGAAATAAATTAAGAAAAATATTATATACACAAAGTAACAGTGCAGTACCAGCTATACATACATACATATATATATATATTTATAGCCATAGGGACCGAAGTAAATTTCATGGCTTTGTTGCAAAGTTGGACTTTTGAAAATTTTGACATTTGACCTTCCTTATTTAATTTTCTTCTTCATTTTCTAGGCCAAGTCATGATCCTGTCGTGACATGGCTATACGCGCCAATAACAGCACTGCACTGCTTTTATTAAGATGTAATATATATATATATATATATATATATATATGTATATATGTCTGGCTCGAATATCAAAAGTTGATTATAAGATAATATAAGAACTAAACATATACATATGTACACAAAACTAAATTTGATTATATAAATATAATGAATACGTATGTGTTATATAGGCCACTAATTTCTGTAAGTTTTTAGGGGTGTGTATATATATATATATATATATATATAGCTAAATCATTAGTAGTTATAATGTCAATTGGCTACTTATAAAATGTCAACCTGATAAATACATTTAATAGATATGTGTTATGTTGTTTTCATATTTTTCTACACTTTTCTCAATTATTGTTTTTCTTGTCTCAATTCCATAAGCCCCCACTCACATGAAAACATAAAGTTATGAAGTGTTCTAATATCATAGTTAAGTTGACATGTTTAATATAATTTACTTTATAAAATTAATATATTTTTTTATTCTACTATTTGATATAAATTTTTAGTACTCTTTCGTAAATGTTCGTATTTTTATACTTTTGTCATAAACCACACTGGTTGATATTGTTATTAATATTTATCGATATTTTATTATCTCTTCTTCAACTCCTTTGAAATTAGGAGCATATTTAACAAGTTTCGAAACTTTATAAATTACACAAGAGAATCAACTTTATAAATTAAATAATTTAGATCTAGCAACGAAAATACACACAAAGATGATGATTAGTTCTTTTGCATTCACTGAGATGATGAAGAGAGTTTGAAGGTTAAGGGAAATGATTGAAGTACGGGTCTGGTCAAAAAAAGGTGTTCTTATTCATCTTCGAACAATGAAAAAGATGTGAAAAAAGTTAAACGAATGGCTCTATGGAATTATGACACTTTGAGAGATCAATTATGTGTTTAATAGAAGTGAAGGGATGTAAACATTCCACAATATTGAATGTTAGTCAACTTAGATTTGGGGAAGAGTTTTGACCTCCTACCATATACCATGACAATGGAGGTAGCAAATATATTTGGTATTAAAATGGGAGAGAAAGTCTTTATAAATTTAATTTTTTTTATATATTTTATCGACATATCTGTATATCTAAATTACTTTTTGAGTAAAGAATATCATAGTTATGGTTAAAAAGATAAATTATATTATTTTTAAATATAAATAATTATTTCTATTTTATTTTTAATATGAACGATTTGAATACACTATGAATGTACGTGAGCAAAGACGATAAGGAAGACAAAAAATAAATTAGTGATTATAATTATTTGAAGGCCTACGAATATAATACGGTGATTACAGTATCTGAAATTATTATTCTTTTTGAACACTTTTATTTATTAATGTATATACACTATTAGATAGTTTGACTACCACTTTTAATAGCGGTCTGGATGGTGTATCAAATAATTTTTTTTAATTAAAGTAATTAGAATATCTTAAAAAATAAATATTTAACAATTTAAAAATAATAATAAAAAAAGGTAAGAGACGGAAAGTTGTTGGGAATCGAAAGCGTGAGGAGAGAGGTTTTTGTAAATGTTAGTTCACAATTTCTAAACACCCACGTATATAACCCCCTAAATAGTTAATGTGGGATTTAGGAGTCAAAGTCAACCACGCCACAATCACAGCCGTCCACATCGTCCCACGTGGCTCACATTAGGCACTCAGGAGTTGCCACGTAAGACCACATGATATAATAATATTGACACGTGGAAAGCTACCAACCAGTTGATTGAAAAGTCTTCAAAAAGTACACAGCTTCTTTGTTGCGAAATCTTCGCTACTTTTGGCGCGAAAGGTCCACGTTTGATCACAATCTCATCATCACAATTCGTTGCTTAATTGATTACCCAAACAATCCCCTCTCCAATATATATATATATATATATATATATATTACACAAACAATGGCCGTCATATGGATATACCCACAAGAAATATCCAAATGATTTTTTCAATAAAAAATATACTCTGAAAATTTTAGAAAAACAAAAAGTTGTAATATGTAGATAAAGTTGATCTTATTTAATTCCCAATAATTAAAATAAAAAAACAAAATTATTTAAATGAATTTGGAGATTGAATTGGTTAAAGTATTATAAAATTATTTAAATGAATTTACATATATGTATATATATATATATATTACGCAAATTCCCAATTTTTTTAATTTTTATTTAATACAAAAAGTAAATAATATTTATGATTAAACTTTTAGCTTACCATAAATAATACTATCTTTTTAAATTTGTTAATTGAATGTGGATACTAAGTTATAATGACTGCATGTTAAAAATTTTACAAAGTTATAAAGTTCAGAATTATAGGTTATATAAATTCTTGATCATTTATTTATTCATTCATGCAGATTTTCTTCTGAAAATTAAGGTATAACATACTATAAAAATGTAATTTAAGCTTTCAAGATGTTAACTTGTATTATTGTTTTTCTTTTCAACAAATATATTAATTTGTTGTAGATAACATATATATATATATATAATTGTTTTATTCCACTTCAAGATTTGATTTTATTTAAAGGTAATAATTCTTTCATATTTTCCTTGAAAATTTTCTTACTTATTTAAAATATTTGTTCGCATAAATAATACTTATATTGTTTTTTATATAGTAGTTAAATGAAATTATTATTTGAAGTGTATTATTAATATTTTTTTATGAAGAATTACTAATTTCATTTTTAGACTATGACCAAATAAAATAATAAGTTCTATTAAATTTATTAATGTTGATTCTTAATTTCTATAACTTTTAAATTATATAGAAAATAGAATATGAAAAAATAAATAAAAATGTTGTGTGATCAAAAATTAAAAAGATGCTGCCCTACAAATCCAACCAACGTTTTTGGGCCTCAAACTCCAGCCCAAGTATCGTTGAACTGTCAAAAAATTAAAGTAACACATTCTAAAAACTCTTATCAATTTTAATAAAATTTTAAAAATTTCTCTAATTTCCTATCAATTTCAATAAACATTCAATTCTTTTATGATCTAAATATTTTGTCATCAAAAAATATTATTCTCTATAACAAAATAAGTACAAATTTACAAATAAATTTTATTTCACTTCTAAATTTCTTCACCACAAGGAACTTTCTATCAAGAGGTTAAGGGATGTCTGTTCAAAAATCCAGCTATGACCTGCAAAATCCAGCTGTATTGTTATCACAAACACACCCTAAAATCAACCTTGGCATGATCCACTTTTGACAATCCAAAATCCAGCTCCAAATTATTAACCTCTTCAGAAATTGTAAACGATGCTACTGGAAAAAACAAAAAAAAAAATCGAGTACGGGTTTGAAATGCCAAACAGTGATCCGACTAATTAACTAGCACAATTTATCAATCATGAGTATCAGTAACTCCCGATGGTCGTAACAGCCAGGTTCATCAACCTAAACACATGAGATGAGAAAATTATTGAGGCTATCAAAGTTATCCACTGATTTCTCAGCATCAAAACTGAAGAGAAAAAAAATTGCTTGTGAAGTAGCCGAGACTTGCAGATACGGCTGAAGTTTACATATTCAATTCCGTGAAGGACACTCTTCATAGACTTTGCTCAAGGATAGTAACCAGTAAAGGTAAAGCCCCTTCCCACAATCTCACCGGCACAAAACCATGCAAAGCACTCCAGCCCAAACAATGCGGCAATGCCAGCATCCTCAACCTTCAGCTCTTGCCTGTTCTTCCACAAATTCTTGACATAATCAAGTTCCTTCCAGAATGACTCGCGCCGACCAGGAATACTGTAAGCAGGGCACTTAAGTTAATAGACTGCGTACATTTAGACTGTACAACTGATGCCTTCCAACATAAACTACTTGGTAATCTCAAACACCAAAATTAACATAAAAAAGCAAGCACCAGTATATTTTTACCAAATGATTGTCAAAGAAAAAAGCTAAGAAAGAGAAATATTCCAACTGCGTCACTTAGTAGTAAGTCATCTTTTTAGGGAAATGACTAAACCTAGCATGTGCTCTTACTTCCAACATAAACTACTTGGTAATCTCAAACACCAAAATTAACATAAAAAGCAAGCACCAGTATATTTTTACCAAATGGTTGTCAAAGAAAAAAGTTAAGAAAGAGAAACATTCCAACTGCATCACTTAGTAGTAAGTCATCTTTTTAGGGAAATGACTAAACCTAGCATGTGCTCTTACTGTATCTTTATTTTTTGGTTTTGAACGAAATCAAAAACTTTATTCCCAAGTAACATATCACTTTGGAAGTTCAGTGTCAAGAAAGTCAAGCTTCTTGTTCCTAATCCACTCTATGCGAGTGAAACATGGAAAACAACAGTACAAAAACCACACTCCGATAATAGAATCAACCATTACAGCTAATGGAGTATCAGTGGCTTCAGCCTAGATGGCACTTAGAAAAAATAATATTCATATTCAACTTGCTAACAGGACACACACACATATATATATGTATATGCTTTTCCAAGGGCTTTTGTCCAGAAAATAACTGAAGCAAAGGCAGATAAAGATATCTGGCACAGTGATTTCAATCATGCTACCAGCAAATTAGTATCAATCACGCTATTAAAAATCTTCTCCTGCCGAATTCCAAAATGAATAGCACTTAATGTGTTTAAAAAGTCTCAGATAATGCAGAAGGGGAAAAGAGACTTATCTAAACAATAAACAAGTGAAATTATTGAAAAGAGATTCACAGAAAAATTCTTTAAACGCTCATGAAATGAATGATGACAAGAAGTTAGAATGCATTAATTAAAAATTGGAGCATCAAGGGCCTTGAAGGGTAACTCCCTTAGGCAAAACATGGAGGAAACATTTTTTTGTTCCTAAGTCACACAACCAGTTTCCAAGAAAACCACTCAAATGAACTCGCCTCAAAGAAGATTTCTATCAAGAAATGATATTACTACAAAATCTAGAAATTGCAGGTGGGCACATGAGTAGCCAAAATAATGCTCTTGAGTTTCACAAATACAGCTTTCAGATGCTTAAAAACTTGCACAAAGAATACAAATATTACCTGCTCATTTTCTCTCATAGCATTTAGAATACATGTGTGACGTGTTTGTGTGAATATCATCCTACAGCACATTATTATCCTGCTAGTTATATACTTTAACTCCATGAAACCAGAGTTAGAAGCCAATAGCATCATCCCTCATCTCAAAATTTATAATTCAAAAAACTCGTGAATAAAACACACAAACAACTTCCAGCAAGAAGAGTTAAATATCAACTTCATCAAGTTCAAAAAAGAAACCAAAGACTACTACACTGATACAAAATTCCAGAGCACATCCAAATTCCCCCCACAAGAGTGTGACGATCAAACACAGAGGAATCAAGGACATGAAGAAACAAGAAGGGAAAGAGAGATAGCCACCTTGCCAGGCGAGTGTAGAACAACTGCTTAGCCAAAAGGTTGCATTTCTCAACGGTAGGGGGCTCCTGAACATATTGCTTGTTCTGCTCCAACAACTGCTTGTAGTAGGCAGTGCCGTGCTTGGCCACAAACTTTGACGCTTGACAGGCCTTGGATTGCAATTGATGCAACTTGGACGCCATCAACCCAAACTAGTTCCTAGCACCAGAATAGAAGATTTAAAAAAAGAAAAACATTGAAAGCATTGACAACGGAATAATTCTTGCACAAGATAAAAAGGGCTAATCCTATCAGAGCTCAGAAGAGTCAAGTATGTTGACAATATTATAGCAAATTCGGACTCCTTGTATTCCCCAGGTCGGGCAACATTTTCACCAATCTAATAAAAGAATCAAGAACAGACCCTTAAAATCAAGCTAAAACCCTAGTTAAAAAAAAACGCAATCCTCTTTATAGATCGAAGTGCAACGACAAGAACATCAAACGAAAATGTGAAATCCAATCCAAAAGGCTAATTCTCACAGTTATTTGCCGTAATCGCATAGATTACCGAGCTGTTAAAATGACAGATCTGAGAAGTAAGGCCACAATATACCCGTCACAATGAAGAAATTTATTAACGACGATAAATCGACAAAGAGAAGTTGAAGGAAATAGAGAGCGGATTTACCCTAAGGTGCTTTGCTGATAAAGGCAAAGAGACGACGAGAAAGGAAGGTCCTTGCTTCTGTCGCCGCTAACCTTCTGCGATCAAAGAGACGGGATGGCTGTTGGAATCAGTGGTTCAACTTTTGCCCTTACAGTCGTGGGGTTTTATTTGAGTAGAAATGGTAAATTTTCGAAAGATTATGGGCCATTTTGCAAATACACATTTCTTTTTTACTATTTGGTAAATTACAAAAGCTTCATGGTTATCTAGGCTTAATGTAGTACGGGAAAACTTGTTTTTTACTTCCCATGGAAGATTTTCTAATTTGAGACTTTGTATTTTTTTTCTATAATTTGTAACTCTCGCAATTCAAATGTTAATCAACTTTATGACTGCAAAAAATTAAAGAGAAAGACAAAACAAAACACATTTGGTATAGAGAGAATAATTAATTAATTTAATTAACAACGAAATTGTAATTTATAAAATAAATATAATGTCTTAAACTTAAAAGATTAAATTAAATTTTACGTTAAAACTTATTATTCATAATAATTATTTTTTTATAAGTCAATTTTATTATTATTATTTTTTTGAAAAAAACATTATGCATTGACACAATCATAAGTTAAAGTTCTAAAATATGATAATTAAGTAAACTTTATATATAATATCCACGTGATGATTAGGTGTCAATCCTACATTTGTTGAACTTCATTCTACTCCCTTCCATGCGATTACTCCACTTATATATAATGATATATATATATATATATATATATATTATATAAAGTTCAAGTACTTGGGGTGTTAAGTTCAAGTGTCTCTACTTGCATCAACTCCATGTAAAGTTTTGCATACAATTTGATTTAAGATTTATTTTAAAAGAATATTGAGAAATCGAATTTAAAGCTTCTAAACTTATTCTTAATGTTTTTTATTTTAAAAAATATTTTTAAATATAATTCAACAATTTTTTCAAAGTTGTATGAATTTTTTAAACAAATTTTTATACATGATGTTAGGAATCAAATTAAGGAGGAAGAATTTGCAAAACAAAAATACTTTATTTTACGAAAAAAATAATAAAAAATGTGATATAGTAATATTTTCATCACACATAACATTTTTTTTGTGTAAATGAGTAAAAAATTGATGTGATCCATAATATGATGATCATTTCATCATATTGATGCACATGACACATTTTTTTAAAAAAAAAAAATTAACTCTTTTAAAAGGATAAAGTAATATTTATATAAAAGTAACCATAAAGTTTTACTTTGACACTGTAAAATAATGTAAGTAATCTTATTTATGATAAATTTAGAGAGAGAAATTTAAATCTTTTAAGTAAAAGTTTTATACTTTCTTGTAAGTCATAACTTTTGAATCTTTTTATTTTTCATCTTCAAAACTACTTTTATGAAGATATTCTTTAAGGTAAATGTAACACCTAATTTATTATTTTTATTTTTTCTTATTTATTTTAATATATATTAGAATTTTAGTTTAATTTTTTTAATATTTAATTTATAAGGTTTTAATTTAATTTAATTGAATAAAAATAAAATAATAATGATAAAATATGTAAAATTATTTTTAGGATTTAATTGAAATTAATTTTGGGAAAAAGGGGTGAAAATTTGAATTTGGGGGTATTTTTGAAAATAAAATCAGAAATCAGGGGTCAAAACGTAATTTAGCAAAGTTGTGCCACGTCAGCAGCCACACAAGCAGTCCAGTCAGCAGTCCCGGCCAACCAGAATACGCCGCGTGGCAAGGAGACTAACGCGGGAGGCCACGCGGGACGGAGCCACGGGGGCGATCCGCGTGCACGCAATCGAACAATCTAGATCTCACGCGTGCGGACGGCCCAAATCTCACGCGCACGGACGGCCCAGATCTCACGCGTGCGGACGACCCAGATTTATTCTCATTTTAATCGCGATCGGACGGCCCAGATTAAATCATGATGGACGACTGAGATTAAAAGGGGAATGTTATAAATAACATCACCCACACCTGACCCCAAACCCTAGCCGCCAGTACCCTCGCCGGAGAAGAAGAACCAGTCGCCGGAGGAGCCGGCCGCTACCACCCACCATCGCACCGGAGGGTTTTTCGACTGCCAAACGAGATAAATTTTCTCTCATTGTCTCGTTTTTCGAAGCTAAATCCCCCTATGGCCAAATCGGAGCCAAACCACCTGTCAATCGGCCGAAAAACACCGTCGAAGTCCATCGGCGCCGCCAGGGCTTCCTTCGATTTTTGCCTCCGATGAGGCCCTTTCCGGTTCTCGTTTGATGCAATTTTTATACCACTGTGATCACCGTCCTTTTTTCTACAGGTTGACCGAAGTAAAATATCAAACTGCTACTCGTGCCGGAGAAGCCACCGTACTCGAGAGCTCTGCCTCCGGTAAGTCTCGGTTATTTGTGATTTTTTTTGCTCACTGAGGGCCCTAGGATTGTTTTATCGCAGGAACCAACGCAAGTTTGGCTGAATTCGGCCAAAATCGACCAACCCGGGGTGGATCGCCGTCGCAGGTGACGGTGCTGTCGCCGGAGCACAGCAGAGCCGCCGTGCCAAAATTCTGATATTGGCCGAAAAGGGGCCATGCGTCTGATTTGTGGTTTTTTGGGACATGTGCAGGTACCGACAGTGCGTTTTAGTTTTTCGGAGAAAATTTAGGGAATTTAGGGGCAGCCCGTAGGCGCATTGTAGAGCCGATTTCAGACCCCGAAATAAGTAAGGATCTCTCACCCTATTTCCTATCACGACATTAAAGCCTAATAAATGATAAAACAATATTTTATGACTTAATAGATATGTATAATTGATTAAGGTTGTCAATGGAGCCCGAATCTGATATATTGTCGGTCAGTTGTTGTTTGATCTATTTTATAGTTTTAAATGCAGTATGGTATCTGATGAGTTTATTTTATGGTTTGTATCCATGAATCATGGTTTCATTTATTATGGTTTGAATTATGGTAAACCCGATGTGGTGTTGTTTGTTTCGTGTTCATTATTGGTTTACATGTTTATGTTTGATTTGATAATTGAGACTAAAAAAATGGAAAAAAGGTTATGTGAATTGATAAATGGATAATGTGGACAGCCTGACTAGATATCCTAGGAGATGGTGGACGGACCGAGTCCGTAGGGAACCCTACCGGGAACGTGGTTTCTTATATCGGACGGGGTATGGAGACCTTATGTGTTTTGGCACTCATACCGGACGGAGTATGGCGACGGCCCGTTTCACCCTTATACCGGACGGGGTATTGAGGTTTATGGTTTTGGCGCCCATACCGGACGGGGTATGGGGACGGCCCGTTTCACCCTTATACCAGACGGGGCATTGAGTTTCATGGTTTTGGCGCCCATACCGGACGGGGTATAGGACGGCCCTAAAATCAAATTATTAATGTTAATGGTTCACATGTAGCGGGGACCCCCTATGGATCCCCATAGATACTAGTAGGCTGGTAAAAAAAAAAAGAGGAAATTTATTGTCTGATTATTGAAGTGCAAAAGTATAATCATGTGTTATGTTACAAAGTGTATATAATTTTATGATAGTTATAATGTTATTGTTTTCATATGTTATTTTCATGAGTCTCACCAAGGTAAGTGGACAGTAAAGGTTTTTATTCATTAATAAATGAGTTTGTTACAAATTATGCTCCATTGGTCCTTTTTGTTTTCTACCAACCTTTACTTCTGTGGTAGTGAGATAATGTGATGTCTTTACTGGGCTAGTGTAGCTCATTCCTTACTTAACCATTTCAGATTGCTTTAACAAGAAGGTTGTATTTAATCCTCCCAATGAGGAGCCATTTACAAATTAATAAAATCATTTAGTACTTATTCTTTGATGGTAAGTTTTCTTAATTTTTTAGTACCTTAATCTTGCTATTTTCTCTAACTAGGCAAGTTAAAGACAGAAATTTGTATCCAAGAGATTCTGGTAGTCCGATACTTTCCAGATGTGTTTCCGGACGAACTACCCGGACTGCCAGTGGACAGGGAAGTCGAGTTCATTATAGACTTACAGCCAGACACCCAACCCATTTCTGTTGCTCTTTACCGCATGAGTCGCATTGAGATGGAAGAGCTGAGGAAACATATCACTGAATTGCAAGACAGTGGTTTTATTAGACACAATGTGTCCCCTTGGGGTGCCGGAGTCACTTTTGCAAGGAAGGGAGATGGAACGTTGAGACTGTGTATTGATTACAGAGGATTGAACAAGGTTACGATCAAGAAAAAATATCATCTTCCCAGAATTTATGACCTATTCGATCAGTTGCAGGGTGCACAGGTCTTCTCTAAAATAGACATGCGGTCAGGTTACCATTAGGTGAAGATAAGAACAGAAGACATCCCCAATACAGCCTTTCGAACCAGGTACGAACACTATGAGTTCCTGGTCATGCCATTTGGGCTAACCAACGCCCTGGCAATCTTTATAGATATGATGAATAGAGTCTTCAGAGAGTTTTTGGATCAGTTTGTTATCGTATTCATCGATGACATCTTAGTCTACTCAAAAAGCAGAGAAGAACATGCTCACCATCTTGCCCAAGTTTTGCAGGTCCTCATAAATAAGAAGTTATACACATAGTTGAGTAAGTGTAGATTCTGTCTTAAGCAGACCGCATTCATATGACACATTATATCGAAGGAAGGAGTATCAGTGAATCCCAAAAAGGTTAAAGCGGTACTTGGCTTGGAGAAGTTGACATCAGTTAAGAAAATCCAGAGTTTCCTGAGGATGGCAGGTTATTACCGCAGGTTTGTTGAGGGATTCTCCAGCCTAGCAGCTCCTCTAACCCGACTCACAAAGAAGAATGCCAAATTTGAGTGGAATGAGGACTGCAAAAGAAGTTTTTTAGAATTAAAGAAGCGGCTGACTATTGGCACCAGTACTGGCTTTACCGAGTGGATAAGGGGGATATACAGTTTATAGTGATGCCTCCTATGTAGGTCTGGGTTGTGTCCTGATGTAGCATGAAAAGGTCATAGCATATGGGTCCAGACAGTTAAAGAATCATGAGAAGAATTATCCCACCCATGACTTGGAGCTTGCCGCAATCATACACGCCTTGAAAACCTGTCGTCACTA